TTTGACCGACCGCACATGTGGCACCTGTACAAATTAGTTTAAGAGAATCAATGGTAGCAGTCTATCAATTTCGGGAGTTCTAAAACGAACAAAAAAGATGAATGGTTCCCCTGACTCATAGGTAACGATTGTTCACCTTGTTTGTGTGAACAATCCTACCGAACAGCGCCCTCCTGGCTTGTCAGGGAAAGAAGCAGGCGTTCGTATGACTTTGTCACTGTTCACGAGTTCGAGTGCCTGACTTAGAGTTCCAGACACTCGACAACCAAGTCCTGCTGCCTGCTTTCGTGCGACAAGATGGCTGCCATTTTATCCAACATGTGTTGTTCGGTTATACGAACGGCAGCCACACAGAGAGAGCACTTAAGTTTGTGGTTTATTTGAAGTTAATGAGCTAGGGGGGTCATCGGTGTCCGGTAGATCCATCTGTCCTTGCTCTTTCAGTGAGCACTTCTTGTCAGTCCAGCCGGGTACAGGAATCAGAAGCTCCTGTACTATGGTCTGCTCCGCTCGGCCACGCTACACTGAGTGGCAGGAGGAAGCGCTCTGCGCCTTATGGATACGCCAGCCCTGCCAGCAATGCAAGTTGTATCATTGGTGATGCCCCCTCTCAGACCCGACCACTGGTCACGATCTACATACATACCAATGTAGCTAAACATACAAACTGGAAACATTACAATGCCAGCTATGCCTTCCATTCAGCCTCCTATATTTATATTATAGTTAAAATTAATTTTGAATTCACCTTGTATTTTCACTTTAGTGACAAATCCTGTAAGTGTGTGGTTATTCTTTGTAAATACATAAAATTATATTTTAGTTAAATTTATAAACGTTTTTACCTTATGAGACCATGAGGCTTACTGCAAAATATTGCATTTATTACATAACATACAGTATTCATTATATTTTCTGTTTCACATACTGCTCAAAACAATACAAAACAATACAATGCACACCATGTTAATCATTATATTCAATTATTACGCTTTATATAGCCAGTCAAGGCAACCAATTTGGTGTGATTGTTAACAGAGGATGAAGGATCAAAGTATCAAAGGCAACCTGTTAGTGATGGATGAGTCAGCACATACATTAATACATTTATATATTGAATATTCGTTTGCACAAAATTATGAATAATTTGATTTTCATTCTTTCTTTTATTTGTTTGTTTAGTTATTATTTGGTCCAGAAGCATTATTACAGGTCTGATTCATGACTTCTTAGAGCCTCGGGCACTTGCAGACTCCTGAGGAATACACACAAAGAATAATTCCCTAAAATGAAAATTCAAAGTGAACTTCAAATTTAAGGTCAAAATAGCTGAACTGGAAAATTTAGCAGTCAGCTTGGCTTTCAGTTTGGCTACTCTGGCCTTAAACTTTGCTTTGAATTCTCAGGTTAGTGAATACCCTGTCAGCCTTCCAATAATATATTTTCTCTGGAATATGGCCATCTGTTTATATCTGTGATACTTGCATTTGATGACATCCTTTCATCTCTATTGCAGCTCTTTAGTATTCATAAAGCACAGTTTCACAGCAGTTATGGGTCACTCGGATATCTTGCTGGAATTTAAAACGGCTAATCTATAGACAAGATATTCACTTAGTGTTGAGTTTTATTTCTTACAGTCAATCTGCTCCCTGCACAACCTATTTTCATAAACTTTGCTGCTATCTCCATTCCGTACAGAGGTGGTCCCACCTCTACCTCATCATTCCACTAATGTTACTTAAAAGCACACTCCACTGCCCAAATACAATTTAAATAAAAATCACTGTTTAGCCAATATACCCCAGAAGACAACATGCATGCTTTTAACCCCTTAAGACCGGAGGACGTACAATTACGCCTATTTTAGGCGGCTCTAAACGCCGCCGGGCGTAATTGTATGCCCTCCGGTCTTTCCTTACTTTCCCAGGGAGCCCCCCGCAGTAGATCCTCCTCCTCCGGTGCCCCCGGCCATGTGAGAGAGAGGTCCTTGCGAGGACCCCACAATCACATGGCTGGGGGTAGCTGCCTCCTGCATTGCCAGCAGGGGGGCTGCCTGTAATGACAGGCGGTCCCCCTGCTGGCTGAAAATAAAATTAAAATAAATTAATTAAAAAGTAAAGTGTAAAAATAAAAATATATACTTAGATCATATATATATATTATAAATATATATATATATATATGATCTAAGTATATATATATATATATATACACATATACATACACACACATACACTGTCTAGGTGTATTTTACTATTAATATATATATAATTACATATATATATTAATGTCAAATTACACGTAGACTGATATTGATTAAATATATATATATAATTATTGTTATATATATATTTATATATAATATAAAAAATTAAATACGTAAAAAATTAAATAAAAAAATAATTAAAAAAAAATTATTAAAAAATATATAGATGTGTGTTATTTTGTTGTAACTGTATTGTGATATTAATATATATATATTTATATCAAAATACATGAACGAAATAATATATATATATCTACATACATAAATATATACGTATATACCTATATATAAATAAAAATATTTAAAAAAATTATAAACCCATTTTCTCAGAAACAAAATGCCTAGATTCTCATCTAAATTCTACCCTACTGGGTATCATGTAGGATACAGTAAAAAGAAGAGAGGCGTATCTATATTAATCAGTAAGGATATCTCCTTCACGCTTCATAAGAAAGTAGGGGACAAAGAAGGGAGATATCTTTTAATACAATGTCAGATTAATAATGAACCGTACACGCTTCTAAATGTCTATGGCCCTCACGATAATCAAGGTATATACCTAGACAAGATAATTACGCTCACCCAAACATATACATATGGTAAATTGATTATAGGGGGTGACACGAACTTTCTGCTAGATAGCAACCTAGACACTACGTCAAACACCACGGTGTCACACGCCACCGCTAAGAAGAGATTCGCCATTACACACCAGGTTAGACATCACATACACAAAGCAGGCCTATTAGACATCTGGAGAGTGCTACATCCTTCTGAAAAAGACTTCACCTTCCACTCCCAGGCGCACAACTCCTACTCTAGGATCGATAGATTCTTGATCCCTCAATCCCTAATTCCGACAGTACAAGGAACGAGCATTGGACAGATCACATGGTCAGACCATGCACCCATAACCCTGACGATAACAGAGAAATTTCCACATAAAGGCCAAGGGTCCTGGAGACTCAATGAATCCTTATTAAAAGATCCACAGATTGCCCAACATATTAGGGACGACATTAAAATGTACTTTGACATAAACTGCTCAGGAGATGTAACCGCTGACACGATATGGCAAGCCCATAAGGCGGTCGTCAGGGGCTCGCTGATCAAACATGGCTGCTATGCCAAAAAGCTAAGAAAGGCCACGTACGATACCCTTCTCCAACAAATTATGGCCATCACGCACGCCAATAAACAAAACCCCACACAACCACAGTATGACAAGCTTCGAACACTACAAACCCAGCTCAATGAGGTGGAACTAAACAAAACCAATCATATCTTACACAGATACAGACACAAATTTTTTGCGCAAGGCAACAAATCAGGGAAAATCCTCGCCTCCAAGCTAAAAGCGCGTACTACCCACTCACGAGTGGAATTTCTTTTATCCTCAGATAAGCGCAAATTGTTGAACCCACAAGATATTGTGGAAGAATTCGCAACCTATTATAGCTCCCTTTACAACTTAGAGAACCAAGAGTCTACTCACGTCCCCTCAGAAGATCAAATTCAGCGCTTCCTAGCAAATATTGACTTACCTACACTTACAGACGCAGAAATAGAGGCCCTTACTCGCCCCTTCACTAACGCAGAAATATTGAGCATCATAACAAAACTACCAGCTCACAAATCCCCAGGTCCGGATGGCTTTACAAATGTATATTATCAGACCTTTTCCGACCTGCTGTTACCTCACTTAACAAACCTCTGCAATCATTGTTTTGACACAGGGTCTATGCCCCAGGACATGCTACTAGCACATATCTCCACACTGCCCAAGCCAGGAAAACCAGCGAACCAATGCCAAAATTTCCGCCCAATCTCCCTCCTCAATAGCGATACGAAAATCTACGCTAAAGCCCTAGCCGAACGCCTGAAAGACATTCTCACCCGAATAACGCATAATGATCAATCGGGTTTTGTTAAAAATAGACAGGGGTCGGACAACACGAGGAAAATCCTCAACATTTTGGCACATATGGAAAATAATAACGTGGAGGGTCTTCTGCTGGCGTTGGATGCCGAGAAGGCCTTCGACAGACTGAATTGGAGATACATGGAGCAAGTTCTCCTAAAATTTGGCTTCCCCGCACCATTTATTAAGGGCGTCTTGGCCCTGTATTCCAGCCCAGCAGCCAAAGTCTCCAGTGGCGGTTTCCTATCGAGCCCCTTCAAGATCACAAACGGCACACGCCAGGGGTGCCCGCTATCCCCCCTGTTGTTTGTGTTATCTTTGGAACCGCTAGCATGCACAATTCGCAAGCAAACGGACGTCAGGGGCATACAGATACAGCAAAGGGAATACAAACTGGCCATGTTTGCGGATGATGTCCTAGTATCCCTGACTCAGCCCACACAATCCCTGCCGCACCTCATGCGCACGTTACATGACTTTGGACAAATCTCGTATTACAAACTGAATCAAGCTAAGACCCAAGCACTCCCAATCCGACTGCCGACCACGACTGTAACTACATTGCAAGCCCAGTTCCCCTTCGAGACACTCTCACATCACATACCTAGGGGTCAAAATTGCTATTTCTCCCAGGAGAACAGCCATGCATAACATATCCACACTCCCTCAAATGTTTAAACAACTTTTACATAAATGGAAAGATGTGCAAATCACATGGTTAGGCAGGATAAATACTGTTAAAATGATGATACTACCGAAAATATTATACGTCTTCAGAATGTTACCACTACCTCTCTCTCTCTCGCTAAGCGCCCAAATCCAAAAATTGTTATCGGTTTTTGTGTGGGAAAACAAAAAACCCCCTATCCTTGCTGCAAACCCCGGTTAAGTTGGGAGGATTGGGCTTCCCTAATGTCCTAATGTACCATAAAGCAGCAGTACTAGAAGCAGCTATCAAATTACACGCCCCAAAAAATACACTTCAGTGGGTCGACATGGAAAATGAATACGGTACAGGAAACTCAGCAATACACTATATGTGGACACCCAAACAACTACGAGACAAATCCCAAGCATTATTGCCCCTTACTAGGACCACCATACAAGTCTGGGACCAATTACACCGCTTGCAAGCGACTGACAACAAATTCCTAAAATGGGCACCCATAGAGGCACTACAGTCTATATCTCCGTGGTTATCGTTCAAAAAATGGTCAGCACTGGGAATTACCCATATTACTAACCTATGTTCACAAAGGGACATCATCCCCTTCCCAGATTTACAGACCGCATACAACCTCCCACCATCCTTCATCTTCTCATATGTCCAACTAAAAAGCATTATCCAAGAACGAGTACTGCTCACAACACAAACTACAGACAACCCCAACACAGAAAGATTGGCACTGTATGACAGATGCCGTACGGCCCCAATCAGAGCCCGCTCCCTGTCCCTCAGCTATGCAGCCCTAAGACACACTAACACGATGCCAGACTTTTCCTTTATGGCACAGTGGAATAGGGAACAAACTATCCGCTTTCCTAAAGATCAGTGGCTACGATCAATCCTAGCGCTTAAAGGTATCACATCCTGCTACTCACATGTAGAAGCACACAAAAAATTGATCTATAGATGGTACCTCACACCCGACAAACTTAACAAAATATATCCACTATCATCAGCACAATGTTGGAGGTGCGAACAGGACAGGGGCACAATGAGCCACATATGGTGGCACTGCCCGAACATACAACCATTATGGACGGAGGTCCAGACGATCTGTAATTCCTTAGGGGTTCTCCGGGGTAAGATCACACCTGAGATAGGTCTATTTCTTCTGATACCCATGATCACCCTTTATCAAGATAGACAACTAATGATTATGGTAATCATGGCAGCACGTAATCTCCTTGCATACCACTGGAAGCAGAAGGAATGCCCATCATCACAGCTATTATATAGTAAAATACGACAGTACCTTAGGTATGAGCAATTGTCCACAGCCACACCCAAACATAAGACTGCCACAAACAATAACTGGCATAAATGGATAACTTTTGATCCACTAGCAGTACCATAGGCGGTATTATGGCTTTGAACTTAACATAGTCAGTATTATAACTATAGACTTACACCCCACACAGACACTGGACAACCAAGCAGAAGGGAGGAACAGTATAGATAACCTCAGGATAATAGGGGGCAAGTCACGTAGGCATATGCATGTTCAGCAGCAACTTATGTATAATCAGCAACAACAATGACCAAAGAACGACCACCAGTGCTCACCCTAGATTGTAGGGCCAAAAAGGCCCAACCCTAGACGGTGGAAAACACACCGGGCAATTCTGCAGAGGCGCACCTTGACCAGGAGTCATCCATAGATAAGCACACGCACCTGTAACTGTACATTGTTGGGTACGGTATATATATTACTAGAATGCTTTGCATACAGACTCAGGATTTGCCAGTTCTGAAACATGCTGAAACTGTAAATTGAACTGTATTGTAGTATCGCTTCTCTTTTACCCTTTACCCACCTACCCCTCTTCCTTTCTGTACCCCAACTGTTATGAAAAACTCAATAAAAGTACAAATTGAAAAAAAAATTATATATATATATATACACATATAGATTCACATACGTATATATATGCATATATTAATTCTACATATATATTTATGTAATATTTTTACATAATTAGGTATCTTAATTAATTACAATTAGCGGGACCTGCCTGACAACCCATGCCGAAAGTAAAGGAATTTAATTTGCTAGCACTATATTTAACCCTATAACTTTCCAAGACACCATAAAACCTGTACATGGGGGGTACTGTTCTACTCAGGAGACTTCGCTGAACACAAATATTAGTGTTTCAAAACAGTAAAATGTATTACAATGATGATATCGCCAGTAAAAGTGACGTTTTTTGCATTTTTCACGCACAAACAGCATTACATGGACAATATTATTGCTGTGATACTTTTTACTGTTTTGAAACACAAATATTTGTGTTCAGCGAAGTCTCCCGAGTACAACAGTACCCCTCATGTACAGGTTTTATGTTTTTTTTCAAAAGTTACAGTGTCAAATATAAGGCTTGTGTTTCATTTTTTTCACATTAAAATTTGCCAGATTGGTTACGTTGCCTTTGAGACCCTATGGTAGCCTAAGAATGAAAATTACCCCTATGATGGCATACCATTTGCAATAGTAGACAACCCAAGGTATTGCAAATGGGGTATGTTCAGTCTTTTTTAGTAGCCACTTAGTCACAAACACTGGCCAAAATTGGCGTTTTTTGAATTTTTCACACACAAACAAATACTAACGCTAACTTTGGCCAGTGTTTGTGACCAAATGGCTACTAAAAAAGACTGGACATACCACATTTGCAATACCTTGGGTTGTCTACTATTGCAAATGGTATGCCATTATGGGTGTAAATTTCATTCCTGGGCTACTATAAAGTCCCAAAGGCAACGTAACCAATCTGGCGAATTTCAATTTCAAATGTAACGTGCTATATTTGACCCTGTAACTTCCCAAAACGCCATTAAACCTGTACATAGGGGGTACTGTTTTACACGTGAGACTTTGCTGAATACAAATATGTGTATTTTATTGCAGTAAAGGCAAACCGTATTATGACATTGACAGTTAAAATGTCATGTAGAACTAAAAAAATTTAAAAAAATCTTATTTTCTCCCATTTTTTTCATATTAAATTATGTTTCATAGCTAAATATTTGATATTAAATGAAAGCCCTGTTTCCCCTGAATAAAATGATTTATAATAAGGGTGGGTGCATTTAATATGAAAGAGTTGAATTACGGTTGGACAGACATGTAGCGCAAATGCCAGGTTTTGTTTACATTTTGTTTCGTTCACAACGTGTACATTTGGCTCCGTCCTTAAGGGGTTAAAAATGCATTATTTCATCTGATTTATGTCTGAAAACATCTTGCAAAACCTGCATTTCTCGTCTGTAGTTTTTGCAAGCCCTCCCCTATAAACCCCACCCAGACTTTCTGTGGCTGTCCAATCACAGGTTTCCCAATGCAGCTCAATGAGATGTCTTTGCAAGGCAGGTGCTCTGGGCAATTGCTGCCTCTTGAGTTTAGCTTCTCTGAGCTAACCAAACCAGGAAGTAACAGGACCAGATGTCTGCTTGAAAGCCAACTGGGTGTCATTTTCTATTTAAATCTGCACCTTACACAAAATTAATAAAAGGACACACTTTTCAAACATAGAGCAATTCAGCAAGCTAAAGTGTTTTAGGAGCATGTTGTGTCCCTTTAAGAAGGGTACATCTGTGGAATAAGAGAATATGCGTGCTGTACCAATGGTCAAGGCTCAGCACTTCCTATGAAATTTTGTCAGTTACCTAAATTTGCCCTATTGGTTAATCTAGGTTTGTGTACACTGTGCAGTATCATTAAGTCTTCAGTGAATACTATTCTACCAATCTACTTCCCTAATACGTTCCTTACCTTTTGTGACACTTTACCCCACTCCCTCTAGCATGTAAGTTCTCTCTTGCTGTGCCTCAATTACATGTTGTTAGTCCACCTATTGTAAAGCGCTACGGAATATGTTGGCACTATATAAATATAATAATAATAATGCAACCAAACCTTCATGTAGCGACATCTGGTTGTACGGAAAATCCAGCAGCCAATATACACAATAAAAGTTAATGTTATACCTTAGTTCTTGGTAACTTTTCACCCACCAAGGTCTCTCTTAAATGTCTTCAATTCCATCTTTCAATACAAGTATTTCTTATTTATGTTATGTTATTTAAGTTATGTGTGTTCCAATATGCTCCAGCATTGTTTTTTATAGACCATATCCCATATGGGCTTGTTTTTTTTATTTTTTTTATTTTAAGGGCATAATCTTTTATTTTGAAGCATTGTTACCTTACATCTTGCAGATGTTAACTCTTTTGAGTACAAGAAAACTAACAAGCATGTTCCTGATATCAATGGGAAACCTGAGGAGACATACAAATTTAAGCCCTGGGCTCAAACTCCCACTACTTCTGGGTAACGGCAACGATTATAGTACACATCAGCCCTAATACATACAAGGTGTTTAAAAAAAAATACCCCTCTCATTCTCATTAGAGGTTTATTAGAGGTGAATAGTTGGTGTAGGACTCGCCTAAGAGGTTTTGCCTTGATGTGGCAAGTGAGCTTACACTTAAATGGCAATTGTAGTTATACTAAAAATCTCCAGTTATTTTAATGTACATAGGGATTTGGGATACCTGTGCAATAATCATGCTGTCTAATCAGAATCGTGATATGCCACAGCTGTGAGGTGGATGGATTATCTTGGCAAAGACAGATTTGTGAACGATATTTGAGAGAAATAAGCCTTTTGTGTACATACAAAAAGTCTTAGATCTTTGAGTTCAGCTCATGAAAAATGGGGGCAAAAACAAAAGTGTTGCATTTAAAATTTTGTTCAGTGTAAATACAGGGTTATTTACTAAAGTGAGAATTTTCAGGGATTCAAAGTAAATTTAAACTGTAAGGACTAAATAGCTGAATTGGAGTCTGCTATGCTTCTGTTTCAGCAATTTTGGTCTAAAATTTTAAATTTCCTTTGTATTCTCTTTGAATTCCCAACAATCCACACTTTAGCAAATAACCCCAAAATTTTGTTTTATTTCATATTCTATAAAGTTTTCATTTGTATTCAGTAATCTTCTTTCTGTACATCAATATTTTCTTATCCTTCCTAAGTGTTCTTTGTAATGTGTGGAATGGTTTGTTGAAGATCTATCACTTCGGTACATTGGAGTTCCATCCCAGATGTCAGTAAAAACCTGTATGCTCACTCTGTAAATCAGCATTACCATGCCCACTGCTGTCTTCTTTGTGCTATAACACCAAATATAACATTTGTCTAGAGATTTGGTTTTAAACCACATGTTGGATTAAATAAAATGCAGTGGAGTGTGTAACAAATCTCAATCTGGCTTTAATCGGGGTATATGTTCTACGTATTTTCCAATATTTTTCTACCAGGATACTCGAGTCCCAGGTGCCTTCCAACTGTTCATCGAGAACAAAAATCAAGTATAGACATCCTGTTACTATGTGTACACCTGTATACTTAATCGATGTGCTGCGTTCCTTTATTACAATGATCATATCATTTGGTCGCGTTTGGTCAAGTTCTATGTTTTACAGATAATGTTCCATTAATATCTGAAACGAACCAAAAAGCTGTACATGCACATAGGTAATGCATTATGAAATATATGGATAATACTCTTTCCATAAGGTATAGCAAGTACTGTGATAATACGCAGCCCAAAACTTGTTTTAGAAGTTCAAGGTCAGAAAGAACTTAATGTTAAAACTTGATAGATTTTTAAGTACTGCAACTTATGCATTTAT